GTTCTACGATGCTGGGCTGTTGTTGGAGTCCAGCACGGCCTCTGGGACTCCCTACAGACAAGGTGACACTGCTTTACTCTTCCCTAGTTAGGAGTGGATGGGTGTAGAAGTTTGGAGTTCTCTTATTCATCACCATCATTTGAGTGCTTTTTTAGGTGTAAGCATCTAGTGTACAGTAGAAGAAATGCTTTTTAAAGGGTCATTTCACCAAAATTACTTCATGCCATGCAGAGTTTCTGAGACATTGTTTCTGAAATGACTTTGCTGTACAGTTCTTAGATGTAATGTGTTTGTTTGAGGTGTAAGCACCACAATTGAAGTTCCATTCACCACCTTTGTTGTCTCAGGAACAGATCATCTTAAAGTTTAAAGCAAAACACAAAATGATCTGCCAAATACCACTGGGGTTATGTTTTTGAGTTAGATCTATTAAAGCGACCTATTATACTTTCAGTATAAATTTCAGTGAGATGTGAGTGTAGATCGATTTTCTCACCCCCACACCCTATCCATGCATCAAACCAGCTAAATGTTTTTTTTTTTTACTTTAAGAGTATCACATCAATTGTACCATGCAGAAATTAAGTCTAGGTACAACCTTGTAGGGTTCTGTTAAACATCTTGTCTGTTTTGCATTTCCAGAAATGAAATGTCCTCAAGCCCCAAGCAGGAGGAAACGAACCACTACTATAATGGATGTCACCACCAGTTTAAGTAAGAACAGGATGCAAACTACAGGGGAGCCAGGTGGAGCTGGACTCCTCTTAAAAAGACATGAGCTCACCTAAGAACATGATTTGTTCCCCCCGCAACAGTAGAAAAAGTTAGTTCCACCAAAAGCCATGGTATAGTTTTAGTAACTCTAAAACTACCCAATAACCACATATTAGGTAATCTTCTGCCACACAGTTCAGGCTCTCCAAAATGTTTGTTATTGACTTTCACAATTCTCACCATACTATGCATTAATAAACAGATAAAGCTGAAACTCCTTATTTTATAGTTTATTTACATAATATGTCAATTTCTTTCTTCATACTGATATTTTTATATACTGGAGGGAGATGGATCCATCCTTTCTTGCCCTTCAGGAGGTTTCGTTGTTTCTTTCTTCCATTTTCCATTTAAGAGTCTTTCCCTATTCAAATCAACTGGGTAAGAATAAAGGGCATTTAAATAAAACTAATTGAGTTAACTATTAGAACAATTTCTATTTCTAATTTGCCTGTTTTTTATAATGCTTTATTTACAAATTTCTAGTTCATTCTTTCTCTTGTACTCTATGCCTTCTTACCTCTGTATCTCCTCCTCAACTGTCTTTCTTTACAGTGAATCATTATGAAGACCAACTGCAACGTGACTGTTGTTTGGATGGCATAAAGGACACTACTGTTTCATACACTTGTGAGAGGCGCAGCGAGTACATAGTGGACGGGGCAGCTTGTGTCGAGGCTTTCCTGTACTGCTGCAAGCAGATGGAAAACCAGCGAGCTGACAGGAAAGAGGACAACCTCCAACTGGCTCGCAGTAAGAGACATGGTCATACTGGTAGTTAGTAAACAGTCACTGCCTCCCAATGAAAAATAATAACTTCTTTAATGACACCTTAGGTGAGGATGACAACAGTTACATGGACAGCAATGAAATTGTTTCTCGCACAAACTTCCCTGAAAGTTGGCTGTGGACAGATATCAAACTGCCTTCTTGCCCTCGACAAACACCAAACTGGTGAGTCAACTGAAACCTATACACACACAAAAATACACTGATAATGTAAAGCTACCCTTTACCCCTCGGAGTCTAACACTTTTCTATGTTTCAGTGACACCACATCAGTTGTGAAAAATGTTCCTTTGCAAGATTCAATCACAACCTGGCAATTCACTGGCATTAGTCTGTCAAGAACTCACGGTGAGAATTCAATGATTAAACTCTGTCAGATTTAGTTGTATGTCTATAAAAGTTTCCATCCATTCCTTACTCATTTTTTCTATCTCTGTTTCATCACTTGTTTTTTGTATCTATCACATCCTTAAGGAATCTGTGTCGGCAATCCGTTGGAGGTCATTGTCCGCAAGGACTTCTTCATTGATCTCAGACTTCCCTACTCTGCTGTCAGAGGAGAGCAGATAGAAATTAAGGCAATCCT